ATTTTTCTTTAAACAAAGATTTTTTTTTATTCGAGATTGAATTCGAATACAAATTATATGAAAAATGCATAAAATCCGCAGTCTACTCATCATTTTCTCACTGCTTTCCTGTTACTTGTTTTAATTTTATATTATTTTAAATTCTACAATGTTACACTTGTTCAGAGTATTGTTTGTATTATAAATATTATTATAAATAATTTTAAAGATTTAAAAATATTGTGTTTTTATTTTGCAACATACATTTTCCATTTTTTATGCCATTGAAGAGATGATATATCGTATCGAATGTATCTAAACCATTTAACAATATGTGATATTATATTACATTTATACATATATATCATCTATTTCATGTTATATAATATGTATTAAATATTAGATAACTATGGTTAGAAAAATTGTTCTAATAAATGCACATGAATTATTAAAAGCAATCGTGTGCTAAAGCATCAAGCTTCCTAAGATTTGTGGCCTAAATATTTTGAAGAATTGGGTAATTCGAGAAGATGAATAATCAGGCATTCAGTCTAGCAGAAAAGCTTATTCCTTCGCTTTATGTACAACAAGGTCTAAATGCAAAAAAAGCACGGGAAAATCTTATTAGACAGTTTATTGAACACGTAAGATCTCATGAAAATTTTGTAATAATGATAGCAGAAGTTGTTAATAATTAGATTTACTAATCATACATTTTCTCGTACCAGCAAAAATGGCCAGAAGAAGGTTGGGACGATACAACAATAGAAGCATTTCTCTCAGACCTATCCCAAATGGATAGCAACAATTTTCCTTCTAATTGTAGCGTTGGAGAACGTGAGGCTAGAATTATATCAAATATTGTTGCAAAACGGCATTATCGAATGGGGCATGGCATAGGTAGATCAAACGATTTAGAAGAAGTGCAACCAAAGGCTGCTGGAAGTAGTTTAATGTATAAATTAACAAATGCTTTGGTGCTTGAAGTAATTCGATATATGGGTAAGAATAATGACTCTTGATTGCTTAATTTTAATTATATGTAACGTATCACTACATTGCAAAACATTCTTTTTATTCTAGGTGTAAAAAGTATAGCAGGCTGTTTTTTATCACCAATGGCAACAGGCATGAGCTTGGTATTATGTATGTTAACGTTTAAACAAGATAGGCCAAGAGCAAAGTATGTTCTATGGTCTAGAATTGATCAAAAATCAAGTTTCAAGTCAATATATACAGCTGGGTTAGAACCAATTGTTATTGAAACAAAAATAGTTGGGGATGAAGTGAAGACAGATATGCAAAGACTCGAATCTCAAATGGCAGCTTTAGGTGAAAGCATTGCTTGCGTTCTTACAACGACCAGTTGTTTCGCACCCAGATCGTGCGACTCTATCGACTCTATCGCAACGCTATGTACTCAATATAATATTCCCCATTTAGTAAATAATGCATACGGGTAAATATTATAATTACAGATATATATATAATTTTATGTTGAAAGTACTATATATGAATACTATATTGTGTCTTATTGTTTGAAGATTACAAAGTACAAGGTGTATGCATCTTATACAAGAAGCATCACGAAAAGGTCGTGTCGATGCTTTTGTTCAAAGCACAGATAAGAATTTTCTGGTACCAGTTGGTGGTGCAATTATTGGTTCATTCGACAAAAAGCTATTAGATCGCATATCAACAATGTATCCTGGTCGCGCAAGCGCCAGCTCGATTATGGACGTAATGATAACATTGTTAAGTTTAGGAATGGCTGGCTACAAACAATTAATAACACAACGTAAAGAAATGTATTCGTACTTGAAAGACGAACTTGGGAAATTAGCAGCTAGGTACGATGAGAGATTGTTGGACACTAAAGGGAATCCGATATCGATGGGAATGACCCTTCAATTCTTAAATCACCATAATGGTTTCCAACAAATTCATATGTTACGTTCAATATTATTTCTTCGGAATGTTAGTGGTACAAGAGTAATAACAGGTGTAGAAGGTAAACATGTTGGTTCACATAAATTTGAAGGTTTGTATTCAAACTTTCTATATATTTTGTTAAATAACTTGAAAATTGACCATATAACATTACATTTAGGTTGGGGGGCTCACAATAGTAATTATCCAGTACCATATTTGACTGCTGCTGCTGCTTTGGGAATGAAAAGATCGGACGTGGACATATTTATACAACGATTAGATAAAGCTTTAACTAAAGTGAGAAGACGTTCAGCTCCAGTAACACCAACAGCATCTCTTGCTGGATCCAGTATCAATGGAGATACAGGAGGTGCTGGTGGTCCTGGCGAATCTAGCACAGCTTCAACTAGCCGAGCAAGTAGTAAGGACAGTTTGAGGAAATGAACCGTAGTCAACGCAAGTGGTCAGTCGATCGAGTACATTAACTTGTAAGCGCATCGTTATTCGAAACTAATATATGTTAGATACCTCTAAAGACTATTGCATTTATATTTTCTATATTCATCGTCAATTCTTTGATGACATTTACCTCACATTTATCCATTAAAAGTTGAAATAGTTTATAATCGGCACAATTAATTTTTAATCATCACTGTGGAAATTCTTTTAAACCAGTAGTTAGATTTTTACTGAAGTACGTACATACTATATATGTATATTCTATAGAGGTATGTAACAGAAAAATGCGCCGATTCAGCTGTCCATTTGCGTTGCAACATTAACAACATCAATTTCCAAAAACCAAAGGAAAGGATTTCCATTTCTGTGCAAATGAAATTAATACCTGAACATCAAACACAAATATGAAAATAAGAAAGAATATTAGGATATTCTGTAGACCTATTTGACTATACTAATTTATAAGCGCTGGCCGCAGAAATATCTAATATTTATTTTATGTTCTAATGTACAA